ATGGAACCTCTATGAGCAGTACAAACTCGTTGATAAGTGGGGACAACAAAGGGGCTGCCGCACGATTTATGGAAGACTGGTTTGATGAGAATGGAGGTGGAATTGCCAGGTCCAATGATCCTGAAGGTAGTGGAATTCCCCGAAGAATCTCAAACATAATTCCTGGAGTTCATGAAAAGAGTAAGTCCATACCCTCTTCGACTTCGATTGTAGAACATCAACTCAAAAATGAATATGGCTGGAAATAAAACTAACTAATATGTGGGTTGGGGGTGTCGAATCTGTGTTGTAAATGGATCGCACCCTAACCTAGTCAAATGGTGCACTGATACCTGACTAAATTTTTGTACAGCCACCAACCTCGTGTCCTGTCTATGTTGGGTTTCTCTTAGTCAGCGGCTAATTTTGTTATCAAGCTTGACAATTGCACTAGCGCAGTTTGACATAAAGACAGCCTAGCTTGAAGTATGTATCATTTAATTGCTTAATTTGTCTTTTATAAGAGAAATAAGCTGTAAACCAATGCTTCTAATGGCTAAGAAATGTAAGATGGTTGAACATTCTCAGTTCAACTGGTTACTCACCACGCCTTCAAGTGCTTAATGCTCTTTGCTATAAGGCTTTGAGTGAGTGCTTGGTGTTGTCCATTGTCTAGGAGCCCGTTTGTTCAACCCACAAGTTCTAACTTCAAACAATGTGCTATTAATGTAGAGTACTTCAGATCAAATAAAAAACATTGGGTATTTGGTCTCGTTATTCAAGCATTTATACATTTTGTTTCTATTAAAAAATAAACGTATGACTGCAAAGTAAAATTCTATAATTGAAGGCCCACAGTAGTGAACATGTGACATGAAAAACCCAAAAAAGAAGGGAATAAAAAAAATGAACACAAAACTTTCTTCATTAAATCTGGACAGATTTAGTATGTGAACGTGATAGCATCTGGCCTGGATTTCATACCCCCATTGATTTCATGTTTAACTTAGATCCGACACGTAATTTAAGGATTCAAGGGATGGAGTTGTAGCATCGAGGGTATTATCTGGTTTTATGGGAGAAAGAAAATAAACTTGTTAAGATTATGGATGTCCTTAAATTGCAGATGAGGAGTTATTGGAAATTGCTGCTTCTTTCCAGTCTTCTTCTGGTAAACCAGCAACCAGGTTTTCGAGTGTTGCAAGCCGTGTGAGGAGTGCTCTCAGGTTGGCTGATAGGCCTAGATTTGTATCTGCATTTTGTCAAACCAATTGTGGTGATGTTAGTCCAAATGTGCTTGGTGCATTCTGCAATGATACTGGGCTACCTTGTGACTTCAATCACAGTACTTGTGGTGGGAAGAATGAGTTGTGCTATGGCCGAGGACCTGGGTATGGAGTTCTTTGTATATTAAGATTTTCTGGGATAAACCATACAAGTACCTCATTCTGATAATCTCATTTCTTGCGTACTTAGCAGTTACCCAGATGAATATGACAGCACTCGTATTATTGGAGACAGACAATTTAAAAAAGCTGTGGATCTTTTCAACACTGCATCTGAGCAAATACAAGGGAAAGTTGATTATCGTCACAGCTATTTGGACTTCTCCAACCTTGAGGTGACAATTTCTAAACTGGGAGGAGGTAGTGAGGTGGTCAAAACATGTCCCGCTGCAATGGGGTTTGCATTTGCTGCTGGTACAACAGACGGACCTGGAGCTTTTGATTTTAAGCAGGGAGATAACAAGGTAATTGGGAAATTGAATATGTTATGGATCTACTTGACCTTGTACCCTCGTTTGCTATAAAATACACCTATTTTTCATTGTTGTGGTTTTTCTATAATGTTACTTCAGGGGAATGCATTTTGGAGAATGGTCCGCAACTTTCTGAAAACACCAAACCAGCGGCAAATCAACTGCCAACATCCAAAGCCTATACTGCTTGATACTGGTGAAATGGATAAGCCATACGATTGGGCAGTGAGTTGCTATCATCTTAAAAAGTCAAAACTAGTAACTTCATGGTTCCTTCACAGAGTGTACTTCTAGTCTTTTAGCGAGTATACCTCCATACATGCCTTTCATATGGAAGCGAAATCATTGAGATGTTTTCACACACTAACTTTTAGGTGGCAAGTGTTTCCTTTCGTTTTTCCACTTCTTTTTGATAACAAGGAGAATTTGGGCCACTTGCAACACCAGTACATGACGTGCCCTCTTCCCATATGCACCAGGTAATTACCAAGATAAATCCATGTCCAGGGTTATGGGATACTTGAAGTTAGGACTTAGGAACAAAGCGGGCTTCTGGCCATCTTGTCTACCTCTTGGATTCTAGGTGGCAAATGTCTGCAACTCAAACTATCCAAAATTGACTGACTTGTTGGTATATTAATTTAGTCTTCCATTGTATATTAGCTAGAAATGGACTTACATGTCCCACAGAGAAGGAAAACCAGATAGAAATTGTTGCTTTTAGGTTCTGGGGATCATTTAGGTTGGTTACATTCTTAAAACTTCAGAGAAGTTCCTACATTCCACAGATCAGTGATCCCAGAAGTAGGGTGCTATGCATTGCCAAATTATACGTTGGAATTATAGGAACCATATTCCGGAATATATGAAAATCCTAGGGTGTTTGTTGTTCCTGGTAATCGTGCATAGGAATCACACCTATTAATAGCACGTTCATAATGTTGCATCATGCCATGTAATCAATGGAATGGTATCTTATGGCTTTTTCCCACGGAACATGAACAACTGATTGAATGGCTGACCTAGTACTCCGCATTTTCACACTATGCCCAGAAGATATCAGTACCCATGATGGTTCAATTTGTTTGAATGGCAAGGGAGTTCAAGTTGTCTTTTATACTATTAGCAGTCCCATAATCTTTTCCCCTTCCTTCCACCCCAAGGCCCCCAACACCAAAAAAAGAGGGGAAAAAAGAAATAAGCCATCATAGGAAACCCCTCACAATCCCAAATTCCATTTATTATGATTCTGAATATATATTGTGCATAGGTCCGAACATGTTACAAGACATTTTAACTTCTTGCTATTGCAGCCTTCAGTACTTCCAATTCAGATCCTAAGGATAGGGCAGCTGGTCATTCTCAGTGTACCTGGAGGTAATGCCTTTGCTTGTTTCTTCCTTCTCATTCCCTTTTGATTACGTAAAACATGTTTCAATGTGTTAACTAGAGTACAATCTTAGTGGAAAACGATCTTTTAAGCGTGTTAAGAGGACAGCTCTTGGTGCAATATTGTCATGGTCAATATACCTCAGTCTGCGAATTTTTTTTCTTTTTTTTTTCCTTCTCTCATAACAGAGTTCAGTACAATGGCTGGGAGACGTTTACGTGATGCTGTGAAAACATTGCTTACAAGTGAAGGAAATGGGGAATTCAACAACGACACTCATATTGTGATAGCAGGGTTGACTAATACATATTCACAGTACGTGACAACTTTTGAGGAATACCAGATTCAGAGATATGAGGTCAGTCAATAAACATACTGCATGACAAAAATCTATAGTATACATTGAATTATAGTGATAAAGGAGGTTTGTATATATATTCTCAAAGAAGGCTGTGGCTAGCATATGAAACTAAGTCCATTGAGGGAGCGTACTTCTCCTTTCGGCAATACCTTAAGAATACTAGTGCAATTAGGGTTCTGGGGTCTCAAAAAAGGATGTTTTTTTTATATGGTAAATTTCCTTTTCAAATGCAAATATAATTGATTTGAAGGCTTGTGACTCAAGCAGATATTACCTTCTGCCCGGCATATGTTTCCGGTGTGCATCTCCTTTGAATTCCAAGTACTATTTGCAGCTGTGACATTTTCCACTTGGTTGAATTCATAGCTGTAGTTTGCTCACTGTCTCCCAATAAATGCAGTCTATGGTGAACTCAATGTCTGCATCTTTAACTCTCTACTTTCTAAATCTCATTGTATTAAGATGGTCAAATGAAGCAGAAAGACTAGTTAGAGATGGGGGAGTATCTTGGAATATTGCAACACTGCTACTGTTCGTTTTGATTGCAATTTCTCCATTGTTATCATTCTTTGCAGGGTGCCTCCACACTATTTGGTCCACATACACTTGGTGCTTACATTAAGGAGTTCACAAAGCTCGCAGCAGCTATTGTAAGTGGCAAAGTTGTTGAACCAGGACCACAACCCCCAGACCTACTGGACAAGCAAATCAGCTTACTAACACCTGTTGTAGCAGATGCGACGCCTCCTGGTGTAAAGTTTGGGGATGTCAGCACTGATGTACTTCAAAACTCCACCTTCAAGAAAGGTGACTTGGTGACAGTCATTTTCTGGTCAGCATGCCCCCGTAATGACCTCATGACAGAAGGCACATTTGCTCTTGTGGAGATTCTCCATGGAAAGAACTCTTGGATCCCAGCTTATGATGATGATGATTGGTGCCTCCGGTTTATGTGGTCAAGACCAGCTAAACTGAGTCCTCAAAGTCAGGCAACAATAGAGTGGAGAATCCCAGCCTCTGCTGCTCAAGGTGTGTACAGAATAAGGCATTTTGGTGCCTCAAAGAGTCTTACAGGATCCATTACCCATTTTACAGGTTCAGCTACTGCTTTTGTGGTAGCTTAAGAAAGTCTCTGATGTTTGTCCATGTACATGCATCCAATCTATTATCATATACAACACATGTATATATAAAACACTAGCATTCAATACATTCTGAGATTTTGAATGTCTGGCATTAAGCTCATGGTGGATGCCCCAAAGCTACGAAGCTAAGCATCAGGTTAACACACATCAGTAAGGGAGTCGGGGGAATGCAGTATGGTTAACTTTGTCAAATGTTTTTAAAAAAAATCAAACACTGGGATTTTTTAGTTCTTGTAGACTAGTAATTGCATGCCTGCATTCGTGAAATCCTCAAATAAACAAAGTATGAGAAAACAATGTTGGTACAAGTTGAGAACAAGAACAAACAAAGCAATCAGCTGAGAAAAAAATGCTGACAATTTAAACTTAAGGCTTTGTCTCCTCATCATCCTCTTCAATCTTGGGAGCCAAATAGAATCTGATATAACCCATTTCAGCAATCTTGTACTCAACCACAACAGGAAGGTCAGAAGACAAGCTGATTGTAACGGTGTTTGACAGTGGAGTTGCCTTGGTGAAGGAGTTCATGTATCTCAGTGCAAATGTCAATGACACTGGTTCATTCATCTCTATAACTGTAGCTTCCTCCGGCTGCAAATTCCAAACCAAACATATAAATCATCCCCTAATACAATTCCTAAGAATTTTAGACACCTTTTCAAAAATTAGTTTCAATAAAATGACATCTAGGTGTAGAAATACAGGGTGCAAGAATAAACCTTGTCAACTGTGGTATTTTGACGGCAAACAACATTTGCAGTTCCAATATCACCTCTTGTTGAGAACTTGACTCCTTCCTTTGTCACAGAGATCACAACTGCAAGCATCAATAAAACAAAATCTCAAGACCATTCATTACTAATAAGATAGAAATGTAAATAATTAGTAACTCATAAGAATAGAATCCACCAATTAAGTACCTGTATCACCAATACTGCTGAGATCTTTACAAATTCTTGCAAATTCAGAAGAAGGCATCCGAACAATAGCATGGTACTCTGCCTCTGGAATTCCAAGGTGCTCACTGTCGATATCCATAAGCTTCATCTCAAAATCCGCAATCTTATCTTGTGCTTTAGTCCATTACAAACCCCCAAAAAATCCAACAATTGATATTAACAAACCAATATCAATAAAACAGAACTCCAAATGCAGGAAAAAAAATTCAAAAAAAATCCCAAACTAATTAATGAAGAAAAACTTAATCTCCTTTCTAATAGGAAAATTTTCAGAGAATTTCCATTTTTTCATGGTAAAGAGTAACCTCAACTCAACTCTTCATTTTAATTACTCAAAATATATTTAAATATTACACTCTATTTTAAAGTTACTTTTACAAATTCACTCCAATTATGCTCTTTATTTTAGTTAATTACTTCAACCAACTTTTAATAATTTAAATTGAAAATACCATATAACCAACCATTCAAATTTTTAATGGTCATATTTAAACCAAAATTCAACCAAAAAAAGAGAAATCAATTTTGTTCTTGTCAACTTGTCATGGAATTTTAATGAATCAATGAGATGTAAAGAAAGAGAACCAAAACAAAAATGCTGACGAACAAAAAATGGTGAAATGGCAATA